CATCTTCTTCCCTGGCTTCTTGTTCATCCAGCTGTTTGTGAGCAAGGAAATGAGTACGGAAAGGACTCACTTGCACCATTATCCCTGTTTCCCACTGCTGTTGGGAGTCTATTCATTTTTCAAGATGCATGAGCAAAGTAGCAGTAAATGTCACCACATCCATAAGCTAATATGCTCTTTTCCAAGCAAGCATGGAAAACATTTTTAATCAGCTTTTTGAAGGGTTGCTGAATAATATGCTCAAAATACTAGCATTGCAGTTATCTTCAAAATGGCAGCTTAACAGGACAGCGCAAATATGTTCATGCCTCTAGTGCAAGTCAATGTAAAGAGATTTTATTTCATGCAATTTTGGAGCATTTATTTTGATTTATTCTTCATGAAGTTTTCACATATTGTAACGGGCAGTTTTTGTGCTCAAATCATGTAAAAAAAATTACAAAGGAAATTTTTTTGGACACTGACAGTCTGCAAGCCTTTTCCAAGGTCAATATTGCAAAAGCAATTTTTTGAATGCCTTAATTGTTCAGCAATGTTTTGTCCCATCAAAGTCCAAAAATATTATGAAGACTGTTTCTATTGTGTACAAATAAAGTTAATGTAAATGAAGCAATTAGGACTTGAGGACATTTTCATACTACTGATAACTGTTTCTTGCTTTTTTCCTGACATGACACACCTTCACCCTGCCTAACAGGGAATCATGAGGATCACTACCTTGTAGTTCTGTAATAACAGAGAAGGGATTTACATTAAATCCCCTGTAAATAGGTACTGCACTCTAAATTTGTGCCAAAATAGCCATTAGATTAATCATACTCAGGGGAAAAGACTAACATCCTCCTTTTCACCCAAGTTGTGGAGGAAAGCGTTACTGTCCTCCTTTTGTTTTCATTTATTAAGAACTGCAGGGCATTTCAAGCTCATTACACGCCTCTTTATCTCTTGACATTACTTGTGACTTGAAAGAGAATCCGTGATTTTGTTTAAAATTCAGCATGAATACATTACCATCACAACATGGTTTCTAAGAGCTATGCATCATGGCTTCAGCTGCAGCAATGCACCAGAAGCTTATCTCACCTCCAAATTGTGGCAGAGAAATTTCAGTATCTAGGTTTTTGGTAGCGCCCAGAAGAGAAGACTAGCAGCTTTTGATTTAGCATATTTTAGGTCTCGTCTTTTCAGTGTTCGGTGTGGTACAGACCCACCCACACTTGAAAAGTGGGGCAGCGATTTACAGACGGAACAGACTCTGGAGAAAGACTCTGCTACATCTGAAGAGGCGGCACATCTCTGATCTGCTCTTTTAATCATACTTTAAGTCAGACTTGGTTAGCGTGTTTGAAGCTGCGCTAGCGATTAAAGAGCGATATGTTGGGCTTTTGCATGTTTCTTTCATTTTGTCTGTTGCATGTTTCTGGTCATGTGCTGCACCACCAAGCTGGAGGCAATCCGGAGAAAAGAGAGGCTCATGGACTTTATGTTAAGATGAACCTTCTTTTCATTGTGTGACCTTGCACACCTAGCACTTGGGCAATATTCATTTTTCATAATGTTTCATCAAATTTTAAAGAAGAAATTCTACTTATTACTCTCTTCATATTAAAATACAAGGTTAGGCCTAGAAGAGTGTGTTCATTATTAGGTGCAAATAAATGCTGACACTAGTAAACAATGTGTTCACAACTCTTTCTCCCTGTGCACCAATTTATTTTACACTCTGATAAGTCCGATCCTTCAGTGACGTTGATGATTTGTCCCTATAAACAGTACTGTGCAAAATTTAGAGACCACCCTTCATTAATTTACTTTCCTGTCAAAATAGCCATTAAGTACAAGTTAGTCATTTTTCAGCATCGGGAAAAAAAAACATAAAAAACATAATTTAAAAACATATTTATCAGAGAATTACGCAAAAGCCTCAATAACTAAATATCAGGTGTTTCAGTATTTATTGTGTCCACTAGGCTTTTATCATAGCTTCCATTCTCTTCAGGACACTTGCTTTTAGTTTTCAAAGAAAGCTGCAGGCTCATTTTTCCACACCTCCAAAGTTCAGTTTTAGAAGTCGGTTGTATTTTCTGCGTCTCACGATCCAAGTAATCCTAAACCCATTCAGTGATGTTGAGGTCTGGACTCTGGTGGGCACTCAGTGTTCTGAGAACACCAGCAGCCTCTTTGTTTGATTTGCAAATTTTCTTTTTCTCAGTAAGGGCTTCCTGACAGCTGCACATCCTTTCAGACTCATAACAGATGGACAGAAACACCTGTGGATTGTTTTCAGATCTGAAGCAAGAGTGGAGCTTAATTTTCTCCTCTCTCTCAAAGATGAAAGCTTTGAGTTCTGTTAATCTTATGCTGACAGTTTTGGTGGTCTTCAAGATTTTGCATGGTTGTTAGTAGTCCAATTTGTTTTAGCTCCAGTTTTGGAAACTAGAAAATTAATAAATTGTCCTTAATGGGAAATTAATGGGAATTTTTCTATAGTTATATTGGAGGCATTCTGAAATTCAGATCAAAATTTCTGGTCTCTGATTTTTTCACAATACCGTACATTCTGATCCTCATATTGATTCCTTCATAGGGCTGGTGATATGGCAGCATTGGTGCTGATTGATAATCATCCATGTTAGGAAAGAACAGCTAAGATTCAGCTAAACCTAACTGAATTTTAAGCAGCCAGGCAAATAATATTAAACATAATATAAATTAAATGTTATATGTAATATATTTCTCTATGTTACTGTTAAAAGGATTGTTAATGCAATAGATTGTTACAGGGCATTAATAAGTCATTAGGCCTCAGTAGAGAACATTTCCTATTGTCTCTGCTACAGGTTTCCCAGTTTGTAACTGATTCTAAGCATTTTCTAGTGTCTCAATGGCTTGAAGACATTTAAAGACATTTCAATATCTTGGTAGTATCCCAGAAATTTAAAGATGGATTCCAGAATGCCTACACTATAATGATCGAAAACACCTAAATGAGAAAAAAAACCATGGATGTTAATGTAATCAACACGCTATTTTACAATATAATATTTTGCTAATTATTTTTCTCTGTAGTCCAGCCAGGTTCCTGTAATGTACATATCTAAGTATGGAAACTGCTGCGTGTTTATGAGGACTTTAGAGGAATCTAGCTGTATGAATGTGTTTACTTTGCCCTGTTTATATCTGTTCAGCTTTAATTCTTCACTCACTCATTTCTGAAGCTCACACTGCGCTGGTGTGGGGATTAATTTTTCCCGTTATCTTCTCCTGCCCCGGTATGTGACGGGGTTAGTGTGGTTGTGCCTCTGTGTCTCTCTCTCCCTCTCCCCGACTGGCCCAAAACTGATAGGCGAGCGAGAGGCAAATTGGAAGAGATTAAGCTAATGTGATAGCAAAGCCCCTTAGCTGAAGGTCTGTGGGCTAATATCCATCCAGAGCAGAGCAGCCGTGGCCTTGCAGTTCAATGCTGAGACCTGGCAAACAGCAAATTGCACAGAGCAGCAAGTATCCTCCTGAGACACCAGCGAGTGGGCTGCTAGTGGAACTGAGGCAAAAGAGCTCTTTTATACTACTTTTAGTATCACTTGCACTCACATAGAAGCGTAAGAGATTGCATCATTATACACTTGAAGCATGTGCTATGGAACTATCCACCACACCAACATCAACAACAACCAGAAAAAAGTTCCTAATGGTTCTTGGCTCAGACATATGGTTCAATAGAAAACCCTGTTTGAGAAATAGAACCTTTACATTATGTGGAGGATCTTTAAACCCCTTTTGGCACCTGCCAACTACACGCCTGTGCTACTTGACCGTATGCATGATTGAAAATAAATTGTCCCTCGGTAGCTGTTGTCACTGTTGCCTCTTCCATTTGCTTTAATTTGAAGAATTCTGGTATCATTTTATGTTTTCTTCCCTTTCTTTCAAAGCAGTCACTCACTGTAGCCTGTATCTTTATCAAGATGACAAACGTAGCCTGCTTAATCTGCTACAGGAATGCTATGATAGTCTGTCACTGCTGTTTTGGTAAAGTCAATCATAAAGAAGCAAAAATTAAGTGAAGTGGATTTTGTATTGTGTTCATTGTGAGACTGGTAGACTAAGCATGCCTATAAATTATGTTTAGCTTCTTTATTCTCATTCAGCTGAATGGAAAAAGTAATATTTCCATAATAGGAAAATATGTGCAGTATAAATCTGGATTTTGTACAGTGAGAGGCTAGCAAAAGTTCTTTGGCTCATTGCTACTTGAGTGACACTGGCACCCTCTTGTGAAGAATCTTCAGCCTGCTAAACATGAGTGAGTGACAGCCTCAGTGGTTCTCACCATCCTCACCAAATATTTCATGGACTAAAGAGAGGCTTCCACACATTACTTTCTGACCACTGGACAGAGCATCTTGCAGTGGTAGTGGCGAGAGGGGGAATAGAAGACATGGATAGTGTAACATTTAGAAAAATGTAAATGCATTAGCATAGCATTTCCCCGTAACAGTTTACTTGAACCTTGTTACATAATGTTGACGTAACTGTGGCATAAACATGTCATGGCAGATGTCTGATGCTGTCATAAGTCATTATGATAAGTTTGGTTCATTAATATAATAGTGTCATGATGCCATTACTTGTAACTGTCGTGACATATGTCATAATATTTGATGTCAAAACAGCTCCTGACATGCTAATTTTTGCTAGTTAACTCTCCCAACATCACTATTACAAACATCATGACAATAAACAGTAATGGTAACATGACACTGTCATATTACTGGACATAATCAGTGTCATCCAACTCATGACAGCATATGACATGTTAATGGCATGTTAATGTTATATTGATGTTATGTAACACAGTCTAAGTAAATGTTACCCATTTACACTCATAAAATGTTCTAAATGGTTCTTGGTGTGGATGTATGGTTCTAAGTAAAGACTTAAATGGAAGGAAAGAAAAGTGGGCATTTCTCTAAACATTGTCACTATCATTCTCCCTGCAGGTCTGCTCATTGGTTCAGGATGTGCCCTCTACCCCCTTGGCTGGGACAGTGAGGAGGTCAGACAAACCTGTGACAACAGCTCAGACCAGTTTCAACTGGGTAAGACTTCATTACACCATTATACAACTTAATCATTCTAAAGAGCACATTCATTATTCACCATCCACATCAGCTTCTGTTAATGTTGTCATGCACACAAATCTTTATTGAACTGCCCTAATCGTTATCATTACATATTTACAACAGTGTGGTCAAGAGAAGCAATACTTTTGTACAAGAAGCCCATTCTCTGATTTGAGCTTCACAGATATTGAGTTAAACATCAATCATCAATTCCCCAGCGGTGGTAGTGATTGATTTGTGTATATGCTTAGCTCTACAAGCTTGAATTACTGGGCCATTTGAAACAAAAGCTAATTCAAATGCAAAAGCGAAGGCATGCTTTCTCTTCTGTTTAATATCTTTCTTTCTTGGTATTCGTTTTCATTCATCTTTTCATGTTTACTAATCTTTAAGCACTCTTGTCATGGAACTCCCCATGCCATTTGAGTTTTTTTGTTTATTTGGTAGATTTATAGTTGAATATAGTGAATTTCAAAACTCGTAATAGCTTCTGATACTCTCCCACTCAAGGTCCCTGAATACTGCTCCAATCTCTTCATAATTAAATGTAATATTTAATGTAGAATACCCACTAAAGGCTAACATTTTGTGCAGGAGCAGCATTGGCACGCTATCTTACTGTCAGGAATGGTTTTTGTACTGGGACAACAAAGACCTGAGTTAAAACAGCTCTGCTGGACTGCACCACAAAAATGTGTAGTGTGCATTTATTATAGCATTTTTAGACCTTGCCCTTGGGACATGGTCATACTTTGTCAGCAGTTTTTGAATGGGAATTAAGGTGCTAATGCATTTAGTATCATCTGAGACCACTTTAAAAAAGGAAATATACTGTCACTGGCTAATGAGTGGTTTTCTCGATTAAGAATGTTCTATGATTTCTATGATCTATGATTTGTGTCCATCAGTGCATCCCTACAAAATAATACAACTAAAATCGAACTAACACTCACACTTTTGTTGCCGAAACTTCTAAAAGCTCAGCAGAGCATGTGGAGATAATAGATGGTGGTGTAGACTCTCATTTTATTTTATTCATTTTTCACACCCTCATAAATATAAACCCTTCCCTAGAGAGAACGCTGGATTTGGTCCCAAAGCACTGGCGCTATTCCTCATATTAAGGCATGCAGTGACAAGTGCACAGCACGGAACAAATGGCCAAGTCTGACTATTTGATGAAGTGCTTAGTCCACAGAGATTCTCTTATCATGACACAGTCATAGTGACTTAAAGGAAGGTCATGAGTACGGTCAAATTTAAAGGGAAGAACTATGTGCCATCATGATGCTGAAATTTACAAATTTGATCTAATACTAAATATCAATATAGCAGTGGGCAGAGGGTCTCTAGTGATAGCTAGTCTCACAAACAAGCTTTAAAATAAATCATTTTTCATAGCATAATTTGCTTAATAAGTAGGCTTTGTGCACCCGATAACCCCATTTTAGCATATTACTAATTTCCACTAGCGCCCTGTTAGGATTGGCACTGTTATATTACACCAAACTAGCGGTGGTGCTTATGAACATTTTATGACAGCTGTATATTAAACACAGACATTTGAATATTGTAACAGGCATTCTGATTTTTTGTGAGTTAAGCCAGCTAAATAAGCTCTCACAAAGGTGGATCACTTTTTACTGGGCAACATTACCAGAGCAGCTTATACTGCATACTTAACCTGCTTCAGAAATTCAAAATTTTAGATCATGAACAGCTCTTGGACCAATTAGAGCCAGGTTCCTGACCAATCAGGGATCAGCTTATGATGGAACTCATCCTTTTCGTATTACATTTATTATTTTTTGTGAAAAATAATGTGAAAAATGTAGCGCTTCAGTGTAGGAAACAAATCATGCTGTATAGATATTAAGAATATGAGGAAATTGTAACTCCAGTAAGCACTACTGGGGTAGAAATGACAGCATTGATTTATACTATTATAAATGCTTTACTTTTACTTTACTTTTTTACATTATAAATTATTTGTTTTTCCTTCTTTGCAAAATAGGCCACCCGACTCCTCATGTTTCACATGATTTCCGCTTTCATGTGCACACATATTGGGAGTTATCATAGCTTGAATATCTAAATCTGAGTTTACAGAGAAAGCTATCAACTGCCATAAGATGACATTTGCATTAGTTTTGTAAAGCTGAAACTTAGTCAGGAATCCTGTTTAAGTTGATCATGCATTGGGCTACAGGCCTGTGGACTCAATAAAATTAATGCCCTGTTGTTCATAGTGCCCAAAAAGAACCTTAAGAGGTGCCACAAGAGCTAACTTACTTTATGTTGAGGAGCAATGTGTTGTTCTTGTTGTCTTTGAGGTATTGCAAATCATGTTGGGATCTGGTATCACTTGGGATAAGAGGAAAACATTTTTGTATCTCTCTTGAAATGCATACTTGGCTAAAATTGCTCAGTTCACTTGTAAGAGTGTGGTTTCACAGCCTATTTTGCATTCAGCCTGAACTCCTCTGTAAGGGATCTCTGCAAAAATGGAACTTGTTCCAGCCAATGTCTGGCTTATTATTCTGTCTGTTAGACACTATTTTAAATCAGCACTGCTTGCAGCAAAGCCTGTGTTGGATGTAAGTCTATGGAGCTCAGACATCCTTCATAGTGTGACATCAAGCGCTTCTTTAAAACTGTACTAGAGAACTCAGAATACTCAAGAATTCAGAATGAATTGCTAACATTTCTGCTCTCACTGAAAGTTATTCCTTTGTCTTTAAGAGAGCGCAGAACTCAAAAGCTTCTGACATAAAAAACAAGTGTCACACTTAGCTGAGTGACGTCCATCAGTTCCTCCACTCTGCTTCTTAAAATGAGCTTCACTGGGCTTTAGCTCCTCTGCTTTCAGCATGATCGACCCTGTTTCACACCGAGGACTGACAGTTTAAGATACTGAACAGAGGTTTCTGATAGTTCTTTCTTGGCTCCACTAAAACTAACATGAGAAGCATTAGAGTAGACATTGTTCATGAGCTGTATGTGAAAAAGAACATAACCTAATTTGTACGGAGCAAATTTCTCATTTCTTCTTTATTTTGTATATTTTGGTTATGTGTTCAAATGAGCATTTATGGAAAGTTTATCCTCTGTGTGGAAGGCATTGTGTTATATAAACCAAGACAGAAAGCAGGGCTCTCAGACTGTTTCTTTAATCTCTGCCCAAAAATAGTTACACCCTCTCATTTTCATTCCTTTCCTTGAAACACCCTGAAGGCTGTAGGATGATGCTATTATGATTGTGGTGCATGTGAATAAAGGTGTATAGTAGGTTGTAAAATGGATTGATCTGAAGTTGGCAGTTCAAGTGCATTGAGTTTGGAATTTTAGTTGACTGTAATAATATTAATTAAAGTATGCACTCACTTTTTGGCCAGAATATAATTCTCAGGCTATATAGGCAAACATATTAAACATAATAATTGTCTGTATTCCACTCCTGTGTAAACGCTTCCATCAGTCCATTTTGTCAGTCGATTTTTTAAAACGTTTGGCATCATGTTAAACCTTCATGACACATTTAATAATTTCCTGAAGAATACTAAGCAAAATAGCTTGAATCATTGTGAGGTCAGGGCCTGTTTTTATGTATCTTCTCAGAGAAGGAGTGCTGATCCAGGACTAGTGGTCGCTTGCATAAAACTTAAATATTTATATTACGAGATTTGAAAAAATAATTCAATGAAAATCTAACACACAATTTTCCACTTTCACAGATGTAGTCTATCAGCCAAGGCATGCATGGTGTCCAAATCTTGCTTCTGTATTTTAGCGCTACAACTGAGGCTAACATTGCTAACAAGCACTAGAAGTCAATAGCCACCCAAATCTTTTTTGTAAATCCTTCCCCAAAACTTTTCTCAACCTGTTCAAATCACATCCAGACCTTCAGTCAGGTCACTCAGACTTGTTGATGTGGTTTAGGACACAGTATGACGTACCGTGGACCGTAAAAATGACCTCAACCTGTAGCCGAACACAGCAACCATTTTAGACAATTGTGTTGTGCCAAATTCTGATTCCCCCAAGATTCCGACTCCCCTTTGAACACGTCACACAGGCATATGGAATTCTGTTGTTTCAGCATGAGTGAGAGTTATTTAGCCATGAGTTGGTCCTAATGGTTTACCTGTGTGTTTTTTCCAGGTTCGTGTGAGATTGGCTGGGCGTATTACTGCACCGGGGCGGGAGCTGCCTCTGCCATGCTGCTGTGCACCTGGCTGGCCTGCTTTGCTGGGAAGAAACAGAAGCAGTACCCTTATTAAAGAGAGCCTGCTTCACCTTCCGCTTCAAATCCAGCTTCAAGCACAGAGCCACTGCCAACAGCACACAGCAGAGGGACAGATGCCTGAGTGTGGACTACATAAACAGCAGAGACGCACTCGTTCATCCAGGGCGTGACCACTTTATCTATTACTTCTTCAACTGCAGTATCCTCCACTGTCCAGTCAGTGGGCTATATGCTCTGATGGACATCCAGTGATGGAATTTTGACAGCTTGATCACATACAGTGACTGTTATTAACTTGTGTTGTGTCTGTCTACAGGATGATTACTGGAAAACTCAGAAGGACCAATTTCCCTTTTTTATGTCTACTCTTAATCCCGAGAGTGTTATTTTTTCTTCCCTGTTTGGTGATGTACTAGTGCTAGTGATGTCTGTTACAAAAAAAAGAAAGAAAAAGAAAATATGCATTCTTGTTATTGATTGTTTATATCTTCATATACATTTATTTCAACCTATTTTTTGCAGCACACTTTGAAATGCAATAATTGTCATATTCACCCTCTACACGGTCAAAAAACATTTTCAAAAGACTGATGCATTTCATCATTTAATGCCAGTATATGCTATAGGATCAGTATACATTATATACATTGTATACAATATGGACAATGTATGCTTCATTGACATACATGTTTTATGAAGAGGAAAATATCCAAACCATGTATTGTTTTATTCATCTTATGTTTGTAAATAAAACCTGTTTATAAACAGTATATTTGCTGACTTTTATCTATACATTTCAGTGTCTTTCGGACCATTTTGTACTCTGTTTCCAATGCCGCCTACTGTAATACAGTTCTTCAGGATTGCTCTCAGTGTTCTATGTGTTCTAGATTGGCCTGACTGGCTCATGGTGAGGTAGCAACACTATCTAAATTAAAAAAGGAATGAAATGAGCAACCAGGAAAGGGTCAGAAGGGTCTTCAGGTAATAGGTGTCTGACCAAAGTCAGGTCCGGTAACGGTTGCAAGCCATAAAGATCAGGTATGGAATTGGCTCAGATGGACTCTCATCTCGAATTTGCGAGGTAATAAGATTGCTGTCTATTTGAAAGTGATGGCCAGTAGAGGCCAGTAGGATCTATTCAGAGTGATGAACAAAGCTGTTGAAGATTCTAAAATGAAGTGCTTTAAATCTATAATATCTATGATACATTGTATTTCAGAAGTGACCATCGCACTTCACAAAAATCCTATAAATAGATAATTACAGTCCATCTTTTATCCTTTAGTAATGCTTATTGTTGCTAAAATATTTCAGAAATTGAGTGACGCATCTAAAAGTACTTTTAGTTGTCTAGTTTAAAGTATTTGAAAGTTCATTGTATAAATTATTGCATATAAAATATTAGAAATTGCCAATATGAAAAGTGATTCCAAATTTTGAATGGTAGTGTAGGTTTCCACTAAGCAAAGAGTTTACATGAGAAAAAATGAAGTAATTCATACCATTTGAACATTAACAGCCCATAAATAAAAGCTATTTTTTCCTTTTTCTTGCATTCGTCTTTTTTAACTGAAGTATTCCTTTAAAAGTCCAGGGAACTACAGACTATGCAGTATATAAATTACACGCTTCAGTAATACAACAACTTCTGGTCCATATGGAACCACACTTGATGCCCTTATTAGCATCTAAATGTAACCAGTTCAGGTACAGTAGCCCATCTCAGGAAGTCACTCTTGCAGCGCAAATGCAAGTTAAATGAGACTTAGCGGGAGGGAAAAAATCAACTTTCCACACAAAAATGCAAATCTTTAAATCCAGCCAGTGCTGCAAGAGAGGAGAGCACATAAATAGCACATGAAATGCAGAATTGTAGCCTTAATCCTTCAGAGGGGTTTTTAGCTTTACAGATGCACCCTGGGACTGTAGCTGGTATGACAGCCACGCATCCATCTCATACAGATCCCTCACAGGCTGTACAGTATATGTGCCTGAAGTTTCTTTCAAAGGAATTCTTGATGTGTAGGGCTGCCTTTAGGTCTAAAAAAGTTGGTTGCACCAAGATTTGAACTTCCAGTTTGCTAACTGTTGCATCATGTTTTGATTGAAGGCTAACAGAAGGGTGAACATAGTCAGATCTATTACAAACACACAAATGGTAGTTTAAGGCCACTATATGACTATATGTCTATAATATGTCCAAAAAAGGAAAGTTTTCCTTTAACAAAACCCAAGACTAATATTCCAAACTTTTGAATGGGATTGTAGGTACTCACTATGCAAAGAGTTCACATGAGAACAAATGATGCATTTAATCCATTTGAACATTAACAGCCCATAAATAAAAGCTATGGTCTCCTTTTTCTGGCATTCATCCTTTTGTTTACTTTTTGGCCCAAGACTGGGCCAAAAAGGAGCCTTTAGCTCTCACCCAGATATGATATTTTAACACAAAAGGTTGAACTGCTACTATAAAACATACTAGTACTGTGATTACATTACTACATACTGTGATGGCAATATGCCCTGCAGTGTATTAAAGGGGAATTCCACCAATATTTCACAATTTCTGCATGACTGAATTTTTTGAGATATAAACAGTCATTTAGTGTGAAATGGCTCATTGTAGAGAAAGTTAACTACTAATATTTCTTTAAAGTTGTGGTGAGAAAAACCAAGGGTCACAATGTCTACAGTGCAAACATGGCCATTTTATTTACTTTTCAAAATGGCAAATGGACCTACACATGTATTTTAAACATTTATTTGTAATGCTGATAATGATAAAGTAGTGGTAAATCTGGTAAATCTCAGAATTTAGAAAAATTGTTTTTCTATTTTTTTCTTAATAAGCCATGTACATAACCAAGTGGCTTAAAACCAAAAAACAAAACCTTATCGCAAAATTATTATATAATCTCAGCTTCAGGTAGTGTATTTGTAACCACCTCATGTAATAACTCTCTGTAAGGGAGGCATTTTAGAGGCATTAAACGCTTGAAATGTCTGGTTCATTTCACACTGCGAACAATTCTGGAATGGAGTGTGTACACCACTCTGAATGACTTTGTTTACATCTTACCATTTAATCATGCAGAAATATTGAAAGATCAGGGGAATTCCTTTTAAAAACATTGATGAATCAACAATGAGGCTTGGTTAAAAACCAGCCTGCACTGTATTGACCAAATTCTTTTACTTTTGTTGGATTACATGAATACCTCATTCATCAAAATTCCTATTGAAACACAAGAATCATGATTGGTCAAGATGCTTCCAGTACACAGTACACAAAAACAATGTCAACGTTTAAAGGGCTGCATAACGCAGCCTTCAACAATATCAATATTGCCAAAGCCAGTTCATGATAACGATTAACAAGAAACATTTCCTGCAGTCATACTAGCCATGTAAGCTGGATGTAATGACTTTTGGAAGTGTTCCTGCAGCAATCCAGTGGGCAAACATTCTCTGTAAACCAGTGTATTTCACTGGAATTCCATATAATAATCATATTCAGCATTCATATATTCAGAATTCTAGGGTTGTTACTCATTATGTTGAGTTGCAGCCTCATCTGCAGGCTGATACCACCATAATGATGCTCCTCCTCACTCATGCTTGAAGAAACTCTGAGTTTTATTTCTCCCTCACTGTCATGTTAGCTCTGTTCCGTTTTCTTTTGTGCCTGTGATTGTTACCGAGCGCCAGACAGACATCTGAATAGCAGTGTGGCGTGACTTATTGGGGTCTGTGAAGAGGGTTACTGGCTCTTCCCCATTATCTCAGCCTGATTTCTCATAGCCTGCAGTGCTCCTGTGAGATCTCCTGTGTGTGATAATGACATGCAAGAGATTTCATACTGATAGTGGTGTTGACAGTGTTATAGGCACTTCAAACACTCACCCAGTGGTCAAATAAACTGTAACATTGTGTCACTTATTTTAATAAACCATTTATGCTTATTTGAAACTGTATTCATCATCCTGAATAGCAAGAGAATATTAAACAGATTAATCAGGCTGATAGTTTGATGTATTCAACCCAGTACTACCTTCTGATGTGTGTTTTCAGTCCCACAGACTCCTAGTTTTTCTGGTGTTTATATATATGTATATATATATATATATATATATGTGTGTGTGTGTGTGTTTGTGTGTCAATCAGAGGTCACTTACAAATATCAGACTGAAAGGAAAAATAACAAAATCATTCTGTTTAATTCTAAGGGATGAAGAAAGGTTGGAAAATGGTCATGTAGAATGAATTATGACTCTGTTTGCTGCATAAAACCACACAAACTTAACAAATGGACCTCAGGGGATATTTTCTTTCTATCTATCTATCTATCTATCTATCTATCTATCTATCTATCTATCTGTCTGTCTGTCTGTCTGTCTGTCTGTCTGTCTGTCTGTCTATCTATCCTCCACCACCACCACCACCACCACCCATACCTCCAAAAGCGAAGGAAAAAAGCTTCAGTTCTTTGGCACATATCCTACATTTTTCTTATATTCTTATATTTTATTTTTGCCTGAGGTCCATGTAATACATTTATGTGGGTTTATGTTCCAAAACCATAATTCATTTTTAAACGACCATTTCATACCTCTTTTTATGCCTTCAAATTAAACAGGCTATTTAGTTTCATGTAGAGACACAGCATTTTCAGATATGTAAAAAAATCCTGTACATCAGCATTACATCCAGGAAATTCAATTTGAGAAAATATGTCTAGCAGCTTTTTTCAGCAGACATTGTTGCAAAGCAGGATTCACAGAGATCCAGGCCATGACCAATATGATTTAACCTCTCAGTAGAGGAGCAGTCCCGTACTGCCATTACAGTCACATGTGAAGTAATTATCCGTCCTGATGCTATAGGTGCTGATATAGGCCAGGATTTTCCTCTAGCTATTTCCACAATAATGATATAGGAGTCCACTTGACAGTCCCCTTGCCAACAATGATTCTCTGAAATGCAACACCCACTGCAGTGATGGTCATTTACACAATTCCTCTTTACGCCCCAGTAAAGACCTCTGATGCACTTAAATTCAAGGACAAGCTGCCCTCTGAGGTGTAAATTTGCACTCATTTTCATCCACAGGTGCAGCTTCATGAACTGTAAATTGTTCTTCCAACACAAATTTTACTCTTGACTAGATAAAGTCGTATACAAAGGGCAACCTGATCAAATTACATATATTTTTGATTTTCAGAGTGAAAACAAGTTACACATCCTCTACAGAGAACACACTTCTGCACATTTTAATACACAATTACTGTTAATATGCAGAATTTAACATACTGGGGAAAAATAAAACATAAAATATGGACTGTGGAAAAGTTATAGCACATTTTATATTTTTAGTTTTATTTTTCTCAACGTGCTAAACTTAGCAAATAAAAGAAATTGTGCTCTATAATTTGCAGAAAACAAGCCTGTTCCCTGGATGTGTTAACATATTTTTTCACTTAGGAAATCTGTGGAATGGTTTTCAAACTTTTTGCACACAACAGCATTTTATATGATGGCAATGCTATCATACAAACAGATACAAGAAAATGACTCAATGTGTAACACCCATACCTCTGTATCTTGATGAATACAACATTATCAAATCTAATAGTGATGTTTGATGTCTCCATCTGCATCTTTTCAGTCTATGAATCACAAAATGCAAGTTTCTATGAAATCCCTATACAATATCAGCCTGCACATTTAATGAAGGGACTCCTAATAACTGTGCGAGGTCTGGTAGGCCACGTAAACAGTACTTAAAGCATTCACCTTTGAGATATAGGAGAAAATCAGCCTTTCTATCCACCTCCAATGTGAGAAGTCAGCTCAGCGTTAGGGGTCTGAAAGGATGTGTAGCTGTCAAGAAGCCCTCACTAAGAAAACAAAATGAGAAAAGAAAATTTGCAAATCAAACAAAGATGCTGTTGGTCTTCTCAGAGTCCAGACCTCAACATCTTTGAAGGTGATTGGGATTTCTTGGATCATGAGAACTTTTAACACTAAACTTCGGTGGTGTGGATAAATATCCCTGCAGATTTCTTTGAAGAATTTAAAGTGAGTCTCCTGAAATGAACAAAAGCTGTGATAAAAGCAGAGAGTGGATACTGAAAAAATTAATAGTATATTTTTTCTGTGGAATTTTCTGCTAAATATAGTTCTGGCTTTTTTCCTGATGCTGAAAAATGAATAACGTGTACTTAATGGCTGTTTTGACTGGAAATTAATTAAATGATGAATGTTGTCTGACTTCTGCACAGTACTGCATATATAAAAACACACCTGTCCCATTCATTCCATTCCATTTTATTTAATTATGTGGCATTTGATGTGATTCTCATTAAATAAAATGAAAGCCAGAAACACATTGTATGCAAACAGAAAGGAAACAAAAGGCGACCATCAACCAGCCAGGCGGACAGACCAGTATTTCTGTGAGTAATATAGCATTTATTCTAGCTCACAATGTCAGATAGTGATTATGCATCTGAATGTGATTGTTACCATCAACAGACGTGGTCTGGATGGATATATGAGCCTAATAAATGAGGTAAATCCCTGAGCAAACACAGCTGCGTCTACACAATCCCCTCTGTCAGCTAGCAGCATGAGGGGAAGCAATCTATTCGCTCCAGAAGCATTTTTGCTTGTGTCTAAGTACAATCATCTACTCTCACACAGCATTACATTCATGAAGATAAGGCAGTGACACACCATGACCTAAAAAGCCATGTGTTACGTAGGCTGTAGGATTCACCTGTAAGAAGATGCAAGTAATGGAGTTTTCCAAAGCGGTGAGGTAGCCTGACCTATTCATTTTGCTCTAGTGGATGGAGCAAGACTGCGAAAACTGGATAAGAGTTAGTCATAGCATTTCACTCATAATTTCAGAAAATAATTCATATTCATATTCTTTTTATGTTGCATGGAAATTTTGCAGAGTGAATTAATTTACTTGCTTGAATTAACCGAAAGGCCCACACTTCACTTTAGTACATACCCTCCATAATAATCTAATAACCTAGCAATAATCCAACAACCTAATAATTTATTTAAACTAAACATTAACTGATATCATCTCTTAAGATTAATATACAAATAATAATCAATTTTTTGCCGCTGCTTACATGCCTATCAATCCAAATCTCAATCCAGTTAAGATTTTCATAGTCTTCTGTTTTCATGGCTCTCATATCAGCCTATTAACTCTTTAGTAGTAAAACTTACACTACATGTCCAAAAATTTGTAGACACAGGATGTCAAATGTGTTCATAGAGAGACTGTCCCCCCCATTACAGCAGTAACAGCCTCTACTCTTCTGGGAAGGCTTTCATTAGACAACATTGCTGTGAGGATTTGATTGCATTCAGCTACAGGAGCTTAAGTGAGGTCAGGCACAGATGCTGGATGATTAGTTCTGGATCACAAACCCCACTCCAACTCATCCAAGTACCTTGCAAAAGACCAACTCAGGTGATAAGGAAAAACAGACCAATTATTTTTTTTCTTATGCTTATTCTGCCATCTAGTGGTCAGGGGACGACTTACTTGGGGGAAAAAGCACAACTTCTAAGTGCAACATATAAATGTATATGCTCTTTTTTCAGGCTGTCTAAAGTCTTAGCCACACTAGATTAGGTTGTTTAGCAGTGGGATATGCAGCATGAATACTGGGTTAATATCAGGTTTAATGGCATCACCACAGCTAAACTGCACAGGCTGGTTAAAGCAAGGATACTCAATTCTGCATGAAGGGGTATTAAGTATTTTGTGTAGAAGGTTATGGACACTATTCAATACCCCCACAAGATCACAGATGTATAGAAGTATTAAACAGTAAATTGGTCCAAAGCCTGATTTTGTCTTAAAGAGCCATTCTAGGGTAAATATGGAGCTTAATGTTACTCGTCATGTTAAATAGTAATCTGTATAGCAGAGTTATACCACTCAGTTTGGCAGAGTTCACGCTGGTGCGCATGCGCAGGATCTCTCGCTCTGTGATCGGCGTTTATGATGACGATTAAACCAAACTGTGAATGTCTAGTTTATGATGACTGCTTTCCTCGATCATATTAATCTCACTGTGATGAGCCAAAGATTATAAATAAGGCAGCTCGCTCTGTTCACAAATCTCAGACAGCCGACTGCATCATCACCACGTCACACAATAAAACGGAAATAACGCTCCCAGGTGGCGGACTTTAAGATTTCAAGTGAAGGATTTCGCTAACGTTAGAGTTATAACGAGTGGATTTATCGCGAACAAACGTGTTATTTTTGGCTCATTCCGCTTTATTTTTTATCTACGCTGGCTGTTCGCTAACCTAATGCATTTCTCTTTTATTGTCTTTGGGCCGGTCGGACAGTAACAAAGAGTAACCTGATTTTCTGTCTTTCAGTCACTTTTAGCTGTACCACCATAAAAACAGGTCGTTTGCCTTTGACCCGTTTCCTTCTGAAGTGGCTGTTCCCATTCGGCACACAGCTGTATCTGTAACTCCTGCCCCGCTGCGTGTGTTTGAAGAGTTAAATGGACCTGTACTCGGTGGTCAAAGTGATCGGGACAGGGTCGTTTGGACGAGCTTTGTTGGTTCAGAGCAAAGACAACAAAGAGAAATGGGTTATGAAAGAAATACGACTACCAAAGGTAATATTCACTAACACGCTCGTTTTACAACGTTAGGTGTTTTATACACTGAAAACAGATGCGGGTGTTAATTATACATTTACTCAGGAATTTTTCTTGTTGTAAGTCGTTGTCGCTTATAGCCGCCGACCAGCAGGGGGCCCCGTAGGTCATGTTTTCTTCTTTCAAACCTTTAACGCGGTTTAGCTTTTTTCCTGATTAAATTTAATGAGCATTAATTCTTGTTAATTTTTGCGTATAAAGTAATGTGATGGGGATAACTGGGCGATGTCTAGGGCTCTTACTGCTCTTACTGCATTTACTTAATTACATAAAATTTGATAAAGCGCTATTTGCACTAACCCCACCGCGACCCAGAAGGATAAGCGGTTTAGATGATGTATGTATGTATGTATGTATGGATGTATATTTGCACTATTATTCAGTACTTAAAGGGGAATTCCACCCATTTTCCAAAATTCATGCACAATGAAATGGTTCAGATGTAAACAGTCACTCAGAGTGATTTGATGTGAAATGCTCCGCTCTATAGAAATGTAATCTGAATTGTTCACAGTGGTGCTGATAGGAACCAGAAGAGTTTAAAGCTACCCCAAAAAGTCATTTTTATAAAATATGAATATGCCTGATGCTTTAGACATTGTTCTGCAATAGTTTTGAGAAGATTCTAGTCTAAAACATATTTTTAAAAAGTTAATTCATACCAAAGAGGTACATGCAGGGCATTTTTTTCAGCTTTATCACTATTTTAGCATCATCAGTATTACGTCTAAAAACCCAGAAGACACATGCAGGTTCACTGTTGGTTTTGGATAGTAAATAAAATGGCTAAATAAATCTGAGTTGGTATTTCTCTGAAATTAACCATTTCAGATAAACACAAATGGCTCTTTGTGCATCTCAATGATTGACTTATGCAGAAATCGGTGGAATTCAAGTCCCTGTGAAGTAGTTTTTACACGTGCTGCCTTTTTATGTCTGCTCAGGCTGTTTTTTGGAAAGATACTAAATAAAGATTCAATTCTACTTGTGTTTTAAGTTACTTGACTGGGTTTAGGTGACTGTATCCTCCTCTGATTGACTATCAATCCAAACAGGCCGAAAGTGGAATGAGAACTACGCGGAGAGAAGCTGTGCTGTTGGCAAAAATGAAGCATCCAAACATTGTTGCTTTCAGGGAGTCATTTGAAGGTCTGTATCCTGCCTGTATACACACAAAGAAAGGGCTGTTTCTTTTTTACATTCATCTCTATGAACACACATAACATATTACTATCCCTAGAGTTAAAATGCCATAGCACTGTGTTTGAGCACCAACAGAAAGGACATGCTAAGATTAAATGCTGAATAATTGCCAGAAGTTAATCCACTCTACATGATCTTTGACCTCCCTACCCTCAGTTTGATTATGTTCATATCTAGAGTGCAGAGTGTTTGCATGTCTTCCGATTTCTCAGATTAACTCCCTTTTACTACTTGACGCTCCTGGCTGATCTCACACTGTAATTCTGGAGTTCCAGCCTCATATTCCCCCTTGTGACTGAGACACTTTCTCTGTCTCTGTTCAGATGATGGCCATTTGTACATTGTAATGGAGTTCTGCAGTGGAGGTGATCTTCTCCAAAGGATACGCCAGCAAAAGGGCTGCCTGTTCTCTCAGGATGTGGTAAAATCATATGAATCCTTACCAAAATAAAAATAAAAAAACTCATAAGATTTATCTGGCATGCTGGATTTGCTGTGTGTTCATGGTGTGTCTCTTCAGATACTCAGGTGGTTTTCACAGATGTGTCTGGGTGCAAAACACATCCATGATAAGCGAGTGCTTCACAGAGACTTAAAATCAAAGGTATAAAATAATTGTGGTTTTGTAATTCAGTGGACATTTGTTTGGTGCATATATTCATTCCTTGTGGAAGAACACTCACCAGCTGACTAAATTACAAAATGATAAAAGTTATGCATCTCAAAATTGGCTGTAGATGCCCTGAAAGTCCTTTGTGCAAATTTTCTTATACTTTAAACCCTTAAGGTTGATAGAGAGTCTAAATATTCTAATGCAGATGGTCTAAACTGCATAGCAAGAACCGTCTAGTTCATAATCTTATACACCCAGATGTTGGGATCTTGTGTTTCAAGCCATTTGGCTTTTAGTGATGCATTCTACTTTACACTACTGAAAGTGTAGTTAGGAATTTTTTAATAAAACCTGTTATAAAAGTAACCATTGCTGAAAGCATGCAGACTGAATAATTATTGTTTGTCCTCCAAGATGGTACTTCAACTTTAAATCCATGTCTTTTCCCTTTTATTTCTTTAGAACATATTCCTCACAGAGAATGGTACCATCAAACTGGGAGATTTTGGCTCAGCATGCACTCTTAACAGGTAGTCTGTTGAAACACATCATATTCAAAGTAAAAAATATTGATTTAAATATCAAATTCTTCTGTATTGAAATTACTGTGATTATTATGCATCCACTGTGCGCTATAACGGAGGTCTGTCTCTGAATGGGAAAAGTGTCCATAATTAGCTTTAGATGCACCATTAATCCTCTATGCAATCATCTATATTCTGATCATTTAAGCACTTCATGCAGTTGTGTATTGCTACTCCAGCCTGGAAGCATCTGAACTGGTTTGAATCCTAACCAGCCAGTAATCTTATACATCCAGATGTTGTGTTGCAGGCTGTTTGAGATCTTGCATACAGGCACTACCCAGAAAGGAGGTCTTATGATGGCGTAAATTTACTATGTATTTGGATATTTGTGTTCTTGTGGAATCAAAGGGTGTCATTCATGTCCTTCATAGGTTGTAGAAATAATTTATTGGTGTATTAAATGTTTATCAGTATGCTATAATATTGTATTATCATACTGATGAACAGGTAAAACTATATAATTTTGGTGGAATTTCCCTAAATCAATGTTGCCTGATATGCATCTTGTTCTTTATTGCAGTGCAAGAGCTTATGCACAGACTTACGTTGGAACTCCATACTACGTGTCTCCAGAGATTTGGGACAACCAACCATACAATAACAAGAGGTACAGAGCTTTAGTTTAGTCTCACAACTTGGCTTATAAAGCTTATAAGGTGTACTTATAAGTAGAGGAAAGCAGGGCACAACCTAACACATTTTGTTTTTTGCTAAATAAATTAAAAAATTAAACAAGATTAATCAGTTTTTAATCAGTCAACATACACATAGGTTGGGCACTGTTCCCACCTAATAGCTAGAAAACGTTAATGTATGCTATTATCTATTTGTCTACATGCTTATGTTTTTTTACAGTGATGTCTGGTCTCTGGGCTGTGTCCTGTACGAACTCTGCACCTTGCGCCACCCAGTATGTACAATTCTTGGCTCTTTAAGTCGCGTGTAATATATAAGCTCCAGTCTCGTTGTCACTTACTGGGTCTGTTGTTTCTGCTTTAGTTCCAGGCCCGCAGCTGGAAGAGTCTGATTTTGAAAGTGTGTCGTGGAGCATATGCTCCTTTACCTGCTCACTTTCCTTATGAGCTTCACTACCTGATCAAACACATGTTCAAGACCAACCCTAAAGACAGGCCTTCCATACACACCATCCTCAACTCCCACCGTGCGTCCAGATTGCTGCACAAACACCTGCCTGAAGAGGTACAGCGCTGCCAGAGCATGCTTTAAAACAGATCATTATTTTCATCTCTCTGGGGACGCAATGGACATGCTTTCAACTGTTCCCTGCCCAAACACACCTATTGCTATCAAGCCCTTCTTGGCCAATAGCAATAGAGTTTAAAAAGTTTTGTTATTTACAATATCTAACCTTTTCCATTAAGGAGCACACTGCCAATCAAAACTGTGGGGACAAACTTTATTTGCTTCCAATAACAACTTAAAGACCATCCAAGTTTATTTTGAGATAAACAGTATCATGCATATAAATATTTATGACAATCACTAAAATACCCAAAGTTAATCATAAATCCTTAACAGCTATAACTGCTACAAAACCGTCTTGACTTTCAGTTTGGAGCCGTGGGAAAATGGTGGGTTTGTGGCAGCTGTAGATAAGTTCCTTAGAATTTGGTATGTCCTCTTTTGCTTTAATTACCACATGTGCTTCAGAATAGACTCCAAAAGTTTGTGCAAAATTCTCTGATAAGTAGATTAAATCCACCGGAGAGTCACCTGAATGTTGTTTATTTCCAGACTTAAATAGAAAAAAAAATCCAGACTTTTGGTTTTAGACATTAAAGCACATTGTTTGAAACAGTTTATCATGACAGTAAGTGTGTCATATATCATTAGAAAACATGCAAGTAAACATGATTACAGTAAAAAGCAACAGGAAATTCTTATTTTGAAGAAAAGTTGATATCTTGGGAGCTGGTTTGAAGAACAAAGTTGGTTTCAGATTTCTCATGGATGCCCTCAGCAATCACATTAATATGTGAAATTTAGTCACCACTTGATTTTAAAGAGTGAAGTACTGATTAGCCAAACTAGGTATTGTATGGTAATTACAAATAACACTGGGCTGAAACACAGAGGTTTAGAAATGGTAAAACAAACACATTGACATATGCAAAATCACTTCTTATTGTATTAATGTTATGTATTTATTCTATTGGTATTTTTCTGAGCAAATAAACATTTGCCACACAGAAAAAAAAACATCTTTTTAATTCTGATTTTCTCATGTAGCTAAAACATTTGCATAGTACTGTATATCTGTGCAGTGTTTAAGATGTGAAGTTATTGCAAACCAATTCATTCTCTTTTTTGGAAAACATTTACCATAAAAGTGTTGAAAAGGTATCTCCAAACTTTTGATTGCCATCCTAGACCACAGAGAGCACATATTTTTTTTAGTTTCATGTGAGAGACTAATCTTTAAGATCTTTAATCCTTAAAGGATTACTTCTCTCAGTAATGCTAACATTACCATGATTCACAGTGAATTACACGCAAATGAGTCATGCAGTCTTTCAGTAGCTTTCAGTGTCTGTTTTCCATGTTAGCAATTTTCAGTACATAATTCTTTAAAACAATGTTGTTGCCACACAGAGCAAAGAACTGGTGGTGGAACCAATAAACCACTGGAAGAAAGAGGAAGGAGAGAAAGTAGCCATGTTTCTGGGTCAGAAGAGCTTATTAAGCACATCTACCACCAAAGGTATATGTAGTACCAACAGGACTGTTTTAACTTGTATAATTCAATTATAAGTGCACCATTGAATTTGTTTTTATTTGTGAGATCATAGACTGGCCTGGAGAACGAGGGTCAAACTGAGTTATTTGTTTTTCAGACACTCTTTCTTATGGGTCATCTCTGCCAGAAAGTCGGAGTGGTAATGTTGGCCCTCGAAAAAAGTGGGCAGAAGGACCTCCTAACACAGTGCTGAAGGTCCTTGGCAATGCTGACATAATTTCCTCTGTTGGCATGGCAGCGACAGAGGGATCTGACTCCAGATCAGGTACAGCATGTGTAAAAATAATTAAAACAGTGATAAAAACATAAAGAAAGTCTTTTGTTAATTGACATCATTTTATAAAGTGCTATAGCTTTAACTCCACCTTCTTCCCACTATTTCTTCTCCTTCACCACTTTTAATACGAGCTTCCATTTCCCTTTCTTCTTCTTTCCCCTCTTCTTTTCCCCTCTTCAGCCTCTTCAACTGAGCTTCTTTAGTGGGTGCTCAACTTCGCTTTTCTTCACGTCTGTCTGAGCCCATTCCTTTCTTTTCTTTCTTTACTTTTCCTATGAGCCATCACATTGTACCACATTAACCTCTTTTTCCTACTTATTTTATGCAACTCTCCAAGCCAACTTTGTAGTTCTGAATGAGAGAACTGCTCATAAGCAAAACCAGTGACATGCTGTGTGCGAATGTTAAGCAGATGATATTTAATTTAATCAAATATATGCCTATTTTCAAGGTACCATACTATTTCTGCAGTTCTTCTCAACTTGTTTGAGGTTTAAAACCCACCCGCATGTTACTTAACGATGACTTATCCCTCTTGCACTAGTCATCATCAGCCAAGTGAGTGTAACTGAAACAGAATGTAAATTTCAGCCCTAGAAAGCAAGTAAAAAAAAATGCTGAACCAAAACCACATTTGTATATTTACAAATTACCTGTTATTCTCATGACATTTCACATTGTGAGGGTAGACTGTTCCCCACTCAAAAAAAAGTGTATCCCTGCTGTGGAATTATTTTTATAAGGATGTAGAATTCTTAAGACCTTAGCAGATATCTAACTGAAATAACCTGTAACAATTGGGAAAAGATGTATGTATGTAAATGAACAAAATTAACTTAATATTAACTTTCCATGTTGTCTGTATGTGCTTCCTTTTTACTGATGATGTATTACAGAGGAGGAATGTATAGAGACGCAGAGAAAGAGAGAGAGAAGGAAATGGGACATAGATCCACCAGACAGACTGTTGAGCCTCCTGGAGAAAGCTCACCTCAGCAAAGCCTTTGAAACCTACACTATCCACAGACGCAGTAAGTGTATTGTGTGAGAGGAGAAGGCCTTTTGAGTGCAGATAATAATGGTAATGTAAGGATCATGATGGCTTTGATGTTGCCCTTATACGTTTATTATCCATTCTGTTTTCAGAAAAAATATATAATTTAATAATCATTATTAAATTTGTGTTCAAACATGCAATTAGGATTTAGTTGTTATTTATTATTATTACTATTATTATTATTATTATTATTATTAAGAATTTTTACAATTAAAAACCTTTATTATGAAATATTCAAATGTAATTCTCTTATGTTAGTGTGGGAAGCTGTGCCTTTACTTGTAAGAACTAAACTGTTTCATGTAATTAAACTTTGTATTTGCTTCATAGGCTACTGGGGACTTTTAAAGGAAGTTGATTATATATCTAGCTATCTGGGGCCTTTCTGTATGTAAATGAGCCTGTCAGTCAACAAGCAGAGCAGCATGAATGCGGCCCCAGGTCACTGATATGTTGTTTAAAGTAGCTGTGAATGAAAGTGAAACAGTTATGTTAGTGAAGGTAGCTGTGAATAAAAAGGCTGGTATTAGCAGCATGGCTGTACTCCTGTGTGTGTGTGTGATGTGGTATAGGTGATGATCCTCTGCTTGAACCTTTGGCTGAAGAGAAGAATGATGTTGCTACAGATGGCCCAGAGGACATCCACACTGACCACAGCAGACTGGAGCCACGTTCAGATGATGAAGACACGTGAGTGAACTAAAACGTCTTTTTTCCTCTCATTTAAACTTTTGCACTTCTGTGTTTTTCTCTTGTTTATCTTCTCTCCTCTCTTTACAGAGATTTTGAGGATGATTGCCCTCTTGACTGGACAGAGGAGTTGGAAAAAATGGTGGAAGAGCACTAGAAATGTATGGAACTTCAGTGATATTCCATGTGTGTATTTAAATAGTATACACATTTTCTATGTTCATCACTTCTTAAATGTAATTTATAATTTGTTGGCAAATGTTTTCAAATACAGTACATGTTTCCATGATTCTCGTCTCTTGTGAATTGTGTATGGCTTTAGCTTTTTCCTTTCCTCTCACACTGTTTAAAGCTCTGCTGTCAGTTAGTCAAACTCTGGTCTTGTAACCTCTTGTGTAATTTTATAGAATGCAGAGTAGATCTCAAGAGTCCAGTGAAACAGTGGGAGATGCTCACAAGCTCAAAGTTAATTTTGAAATAAAGAAAAAAAAATTAACCGATTTTATTTCCAGTAATACATAAACAGGTCTCCAGCATTACCCCCTATCCATACCACCGTTGTTTTGCATGGATATAAAAACATACTTAATTGTATATGCAAACAGGTACATCTGAAAGTCGTCACATTACTTTATGAACATGTCAGGATGCCTTTACCTGACCACTAGGTGGTGTCAAGATTTTACAGATTATAAATAGACTGGTGGTGGGAAATGTGGTTTACTGGTTGCTATTTCAGACCTTAGAAAAATATCAACACTTACACACTCAGTGTTGAATTGTTATTATGTATCAAGTTAAAATTTAAATTAAGCGCTACAGCATTTCACTTTATGGTTAAAAAAAAAAAATTATTCATTTGTACATACACAGCCAGGTCCATAAATATTTGGATATTGACAAAGTTATTGTTATTTTAGATGGTTACCAAGGCAAATTTGAGTTCAAACTAAATAAAGGATATGAGCTCAAGATGCAGACTTTAAGCTTTATTTGAGGGTATTTACATACAAATCAGGTTAACCTTGTAGGAATTACATCCATTTCCATACACACCACCCTATTTTTAGGGTCTCAGAAGTAATTGCACAGTTGGCTGCTCAGCTGTTCAGTGACCAGGTTTACATTTGGAATTCTTTGCTCCAGTCTAAATAGCTCACACTGCATCATTAGAGTGAAAAATCAAAACAAACCCTGCAGAAAGGCAGCAAAAACCATGGCTGAATCAACATTCTTAAAAAGCAAGAATGCACTGTTGAGCTCAGAAACACCAAAAGATCCGGAAGACTAAAGAAAGCAGCTGTGATGTATGACTTAAGAAGTCTTTTTCTGGTGAAGAAAATCCCCTTCACAACAGTTGGGCAGATTAAAAAGCATGGAAGAGGTAGTGTTATGGCATAGGTATGTATAACTGCCAGTGGAACTGGTTCCCTTGTAATTATTAATGATGTGACTGCTGACAAAAGCAGCAGGATGAATTCTGAAGAGTATAGGGCTGTATATCTGCTCAGATTAAGTCAAATGCTTCAAAACTTTTTGGACAGCTCTTCACAGTACAGATGGACAATGATCCAAAGCAGCCCAAGATTTTTAAGGCAACATAGTATTCTGCAATTGCCAAATCAGTCACATAATCAAAATTTCTCTTACTGAAGGCTAAACTGAAGGTAAAATGGCCCAAGAGCAAGTAGGAACTGAAGACAGCTGCAGTAAAGTCCTGGCAGAGCATTACCAGGGAAGATATTCAGCATCTGGTGATGTCTATGTGTTACAAACTTCAGGCAGTCATTTACTGCAAAGGATTTGCAACCAATGTTAAAAATGACAGTTTACTTTATGATTGTTAGTTTGTCTAATTACATTTGAAAATGTAAAAATTGGGGGGCCTTTGTATGGAAATGGCTGCAATTCCTACACTGTACATTCAATTTGGATGTAAATTCCCTCAAATTAAAACTTTGAGCTCACTTATTATTTACCTCCAAAGTAGTATGGTAAACAACTAAAATAATAAAAAACTTTCTTTGATATCCAAATACTATGTATCTGACTGTAACTTAAAATTTTAATTTTAGTATGTTTTTAACAGTATTGGCATATGTACATTTTTTAGCATATTATGATATGTATGTTTTTAAGTCCTTAATACTCAAGGAATTCACTACATTGCATTGTGCACTAATGTAGATATCTTTTCTCTCAGTATACAGTCATTATTAGAGTGGATTGTAACACTTGTAAAGTAGCCTCATTAATACTGACAGACCTTGCCTCTGTCTTGACCTTGAATTTTACCAGCGTCAGAACAAAAATAGTTAACGCCCAGTCTTGCCAGCTCTTTTCAGCATTCAAGTGGTCTCCAGTGACTGTCGGGGTCTGTTAGAGATAAATACCCCCTAGCTGTGTAATTGAGGAAACACAGGGCTGGCATTCAGGCCTTATCTAAAAGACACATGGAGTGCCCCCGGGGCTCATACTTGGCCCCCTGGCCTTTTTTTATTTTTCCTTTCTTACCTCAGTCTAAGCCTATTGTCTTATGAGAAGCAGAGATAAAAATGAAATGGCAGACAGGACTAGTGCTGTTAGGACGATAGTGGCCTGTTTGCTCACAGGGAAGGTCCTATTTTGGTAAATGTGGTCTTGGGCTATTGTATTTGGTGCTTGACTGGGAGTGATGGAATTAAGGACAGGAAGGAAGAATTAAAAGTCTGTTTTTAAGACATCAGACATTGTTAGCGGCCGTGTCTGGAGTGAATCAGACATGTTGGCTCTAATTCGATCTGTTGTGCCGTCTGCTGGAAGCAAGTTAGAGTGAAACAGAAAACGTCTAGCCTTATTCTCATTAGATTAAACTTCAGTCCACTGGGTAGAGAGGATAGATGTCACACATAGGTGAAACACGAAGGAATGCTTCACTTGGAAATGCTTACATAGCTCTTCTGAAAGTCAGTTAGTTTCTAAAAAATTGTGAAATATTTTGTAGTGTGTTGCTGTTCTTTCCAGCCGTCCAAATTCAATTCAGAGCAACTACAGAGCATTTCCTCTTTCAGGAAAGGGACATGAAGTCATGTCTGCTATTTCTCAAGAATAACAAACACATCAGTCTGTAAATGTCCCATTGTACGAATTATTTAGATGCACAGTGGACACACATTGTGAACTAACAATATGTGTCTTCTGACTGGAGCCTCAGCGCTCTGATGTGCTGCTGGGTTCCTTCCTTTGTTCTCAGAATGTTGTTTCTGACATGTTTTCTGTACAAGGTTCAAACCACCGTGCTATCTGAATCTAAAGGTGTGAAGAGATTCTACTAAAGCTGCTTGTGCTAAAATAATCTGTTGCAGCCACTAAAAAGTTTGTGCTAGAACTGTCAAAATTGCTCGTGCAAGAGTTTCTGTATGAACACCTTGCTAAGGATTTCCTCTCACTTCAGCTTCTCAGAAGCGGCCTTTGCTCAGCCAAATCTTTACCTCACGTGTCTTGTTGTGAACTGAAGTGACACTGTAAATGTTAAAGTGCCTGAGTATAGTTAAGTTTTCTTGGATAAAATTGAAAGGGACTCATGATTTTAATGTTTTGTAGAAATGTGAGACACCCCACCCCCAATGTCTTCCTGCGATCCCATCCCACACAGCACTTCAGCCTGTCCTCACTGTGCACTTTCTTTCTCTGTCATAGTCCTCTATAGTCATAGCACCCCAGTTTCTTTTCTGTGTTAGAGGAATACAGTACAGGAAAAGGAAGAGTTGAGCAGATGGTGATTAACCCATTGATTGAAACCAGACTTATTTATTTTATTGGAATCCTTTGAAATATATTTTTAGAGTGATTAGGGAAGCCCCTGCTAGTACCTAATAGGTGTCTCACAGTTTTCATACATAACGGAAAGTACACTGGCGTCAACCACATCCTTGGCACATCTGGCAGAGTGTGGTCGTTCTTTCCCACTCCATTTGTTTGACCTTTTTAAACGATTTATGGCCCTTTTGAAAGATTTATCTCCTGTCTTAAACATCCCACACTCGAAAGAATATGCAGCAATGTTCAAGCATTAAAAGAGCTGCTACTGTTTTCTACTGAATAGTAAATTATCAATGGTACCATTTTAGAATAAGTGGGTAATGAATGGTTTATTAATCGTTATTTACTGGGACACAAACACTTTACAAATCACTGATAAGCAGTTAAGACGCAAAATAAAAAAGAAATCACTGACTTTTTGCTTGCCAATTAGTGCCCACAGTAGCAGTAGTGAAGCAGCTGAATACATTGAAGTAAATATCTTGAAGATGTTCTGTTGATACATTACATACATTACGTTGATGTATTGTTAATGTGTTACTTCCTTACCCAACCTTACTCAACACCTAACCCTAACCCTGGTCCTAACCCTAATCCTGACCTTAACCTCAACCCAAAACCTAACCATAACCCTCATGTGTTTTTGACATGTTACTGAGAATCTGTTGAGTGTTTGTTTAATCTAAGAAGGACCATTCAAAATAGAGTGTCACCATCTGGTTACTTATTTTACTTTTTCTTCTCCATCATTCAGCATTAAAACTGTCAGCTTCATTAGATAGTCATTACATATAGCAGGTCATTGTTGCCTTTTTATGTGTTATAACTGCTTAATAATGATTTTAAGGTGTTTCTGACCTAATTAATAATCATTGACTTATAACATATAATGTTTTAGAGGTCTATTTTTGATATTTTAATAATATTACACTGCTGCATTTATATTATGCTCAGAAGAGATATAAACATGTGGTCAGATTTGTGACTTGTAGGACAACATGGCAGTTCACATTTTGCTGTTGACAGTCCAGAGTATCAATTGTTTCTTTCATAGCTTGACTTTGTCTGATGTTTTGAAGATGATAGAACATGATGACCCAATACAGACTAACATTTCCATTATCATCAGTATGCTGCTTCAATGTGTTTTTGCATGGTTCACTATTCATCAATATATATATCTTATTTTTTGTTATTTCCTATGTCATTTTGTCTAATTGATTAACTGATGGCTCCGCAGACAACTTTTAAAGGGCCCATATAATGGAAAAAGAGATTGATATAGTATGTACACACTGATATAATTTCAAAACATGTTGTTCCCTTCCCAGCTAACGCAATCTATAGAAACCAAGCTGAAATGAACAGTTTTTAGTTCATTGTCAATCTACGTATATCCTCCAATTCAGCCTACAGCAAATTAGCTCACCATTTCTCCATTCAAGTGATAAGTAGTGATTCAAGCATGGACTTGTTTTTTGAATACAG